CTTATGATAAGGGTTAATCATTTAAAACACACACACGCACACGCACACGCACACGCACTCGTTGCAAACCTTGTGCAATTTACGTACGTAAAAAAAAAAAAAAAAATAGTATCGATTGTCCCAGATTATTTAATTAAAATCGATTTGGATTCGTTAAAAACACGTTTCCTTTTTTTTTTTTTTAATAAAACATTTTTAATTATAACCTATTAACATAACCTATTAATTAACTGTCTGTCACCTTGCAGGTATTTATTATCATTATGTAATTACACGCACACGCGCACTCGAAAATATAATTGAATAAATTTTTTTTTTCTCCCCACCCCACCTGATACTAAAGTATCTTTCGCCTCCTTTCGAATACCTCCTACTTTTATGCCATCGCATAATTTTTTTTTTCTTATTAAAACCCAAATAGTCACGTGGTTTCTTTTTTTTTGCTGCGGTTCGAGAGAGAGAGAGAGAGAGAGAGAGAGAGAGAAACTATTAACAAAACCTACGAGAAGCAGGATTTTTTTTTTTAAACACCTGATGATTGGAAAAAAATTTTCTTCTGCTTTTGACGTCATTGATAAATTTTTTTTTGGTTTAGAATAACGACAAGACAACACGTTTTAATTCACGGTTAAAAAAAACAACAAAGATTGTTAAACTTATGGGCGTTTTAATAACTTTCATATTAAATTAAATTAATCAACAACTTGTTGCTGCAAATTTAACTGAATCCAAAAAGAAAGTTTTTCTCTTTTCTCTTTTTTTTTGGAACACCCACGCAACACGCAAATATTTTTATGACAAAAATTGAAATTTCACCGATTCACAAACTTTTTTCAATATCATTTAAATTTTCATTTTTTTTTTTTTTTTCGTTATATGCAATGTAAAGACTGAACGACCTTAAACGTCAACAACAAAAAAAAAAAATCCTACTTATCGCATTTATCGACCTCCTAACAATTCACATATTTTTTTCGCAAGGAAATTTATTATTATTATTATTATTTTCTCAAATAAATCATGTGGGGATTATTTTAGGTACGTAATCAAACGATTTCCACTTTAAAAAAAAAAAAACCTTTTGCGTTCAAAATTATATCAAAAATTATCACAATAAAAAAAAAACTTTTCACGTTAACTTTTCTCCTCCCCTCCCGTCCCCCCATACAGAAAAAATTCCACTTCGAATAACGTATTGTTTAAATTCACATACGGTAACATAAATACAAAAAAAAATATTTCGCAAAAAAAAAAAAAAAACAATTTCGCAATACGATACGAAGATAACATACGTCAACAACAACAACAACAACAACAACACAACAGCAACCGACAACAAAATAAAAACGAACGTCTTTTCTTTTTTATTATTATTATTATTTCTTTTTCATAAACGAACAAACACTAAACCGAAAATATTGTTCGACACTCTCTCTCTCTCTCTCTCGATATCTAAGAATAATAATGTTTCGTACCGTATATCCACCAAGGGTTTCCCAAAGATTTTCACATGTCAAGGTTCCCCAACAAAAAAAAAAAAAAAAATCATTTTCAGGGCCGTTTTCCTACCTAACCGTAACTAATTTTACTTTGATTTAATATTTACATATGCGAAAATTTATATATATACATATTTGCCACATTAATAATAATAATAATAATTGTATTTTATTAATAAAAGGATTTTTCGTCTGATGTATTAAACACTAAGAAAAAGAGAGAATAAGAGAGAGAGAGAGAGAAAATCATTTTTTATGGCATCATGATGACTAAAACAAAAGTGGGAAGCAGAAGAAAAAAAAAAAAATTAATTTAAAATTTAAATAAAACAAGAATTAAAATACGGTTCATTCTTTTTTGCAATACACAAACAACAAAAAACTTTTCGTGACGTCATTATTTTTTTTTTAATAATAATGATTTTATCGATTTTTTCGAAAATGAAAAACAAAAAAAAAAAAAAAAAAAACCCCCCCCCACAAAATTCAAATAACAAATAAACCATATTTGGAAATAATAAAATAAAAATATTTATATTAACGATATATTCGTCGAAAAAAGAATATTATTATTATTGTCGAACAATAAAGAAACTTTTTTTTTTTTTGGTTTGGAAAACTAAATAAATAAAAAAACCCGAAATCTAAACAACATTCGTTTTATCGAGGGAGAGACTAACAAACAAACAAACAAAAAAACCGCGAAAACGATCTAAGGTACTGGCGACGAAAAAAAAAAAAAATCTCTAGTAATACAAAAATGGCGGAAATTGACGACGCAGTTAACAACAAGACAGGAACTGAGTTATCCCCCTCCTCTCCCCATTCCCTCCACCTCCCCACCTTCGAGATTTTCCTTTATATTATATATTATCCGAATTCGCATAATTTTTTTTTTTAAATTTCTATTTGATGATTCGATGAGTGATTTAAACGCGCGTAAAATCATAACCGGAAATACATCAACAACACTATCGTCGTTTTAACGTCATAGGCACACACACACATATGAGACTCGAACCTACCAAAACCATAATTTTTTCACAATTAATTTATGTATATAAAAACGTTATATATTTTCGTAAAACGACCTTGTCTCATTACCTACGTTAATAATTCGGACGTGGGTGTGGTCATAAATAATTTTCCTATCTTTTCCCCTCTCACAACATAATCATTATCTACCCCTTTCGATAAAACTCCCTCTCCCTTTAAACATGTGAGAAGAATACACGAAAGAATAATTAATATCCTCTTGTAAAATGTTAATGATAATAATAATAAACAAACACTGAGAGGCGCCTCTTTAGGAACGTTAATATTAATAAAATTTTCGACCGTTATTATTATTATTATTATTATTTATTATGTGTAAAATAAAATAAAATTTTTCTTGCGTTTCACACACACACACACACACACACACACACACACGATGGCAAACGATGTAGAAAATACAAACAAACAAACAAACAAAACAATTTTCGAATAAAAACAAACGTTTATTTATAACTATAAATTATGCAATTGTTAAAAGCGTATCGAATGATTTTCGATTAATCGAAATCGAAATCGTCATCGATCAAACGTCAATCAAAAGACGGGAGGATATAGAAAACATATTGAAATATTTTTTAATCCGCACCACTCCGTAATTGTTAAATTTGGTGCCACGAACAAAAAACGGCATCTGGTGCCACGAACAAAAAAAAAAACAAAAACAAAACGAAAAAAAAAATTTAAAGTAAATACGGTTACAAATCGAATGTTCGCGATGGGAAATTTTTTTTTTTTTTGTGCATTCAAAAGAAAATAAAAACTCGACGCAATACATAAATAAATATAAATATTACCACCGGCGTGTCAAAGGTCATGCATATATATATTTTTCACGGGTGAGTTACGTTAAATACATTGAGATTTCACAATGTTTCTCTCTCTCTCTCTCTCTCTCATTTTAAGCAGAAGTGTTAAAATTCAGGGTTTTTCATTCACAGTAACCTCGTTTAAAAAATTCTCTTTTCGAATACGAAATATTTTCTAGAAAAAACCCCCATCAACAAATTATAAAAAAAATTTTCAAACGAAACGAATAATAAAAGTTAAAAAAAAAAAAAAAAAAAAAAAAATTCGTAATTAAATTTACCTTTGTAACGATCACATCGAAACCTTTCAATGATAATTATTATTATTATTATTATTATTATTATTATGTTTTCCTTACTTCCGTAAAAAAAATATTTCAAATTATAAACAAACCGAATTGAGACAAAAACGCGAAAAAACGCGAAAAAAAAACTTTTTGATTAATTTAATTTAAACAATCATTTTTATTATTTATTACATAATTTATTATTTAATCATACGAATATTATTATTATTATTATCGCAATTAGTTTCGTATAAATTTACTTGCGATAAAATCATATATATATCGAATATCGAATTATAATAATCGAATCGAATCGAATCGAATGAACACAAAAAAATATTTTTTTTTATAATTATTAACATTAAAAAACTAAATTATTATAATTATTATAATTAATTTTCGCGTGTAATATTTAAATTTTTTTTTTTTTTTTAAAACTCGTTTTTTTTTATAACCGAACAATTATTTTCATCGTTAAATTTTAACTTTCGGAAAACTCGTACCACCATTCAAAAAAAAAAAAAAACAAGAAAAATTTGTTTAAAAAAACTCATTAAGTCGTTCAAATTCTAACTCGTTCTATTCGTTAATTAATTATAAAAGATATCATTATAGAAAATTAACACCAGACGAAAATAATAATGATAATAATTTGCCTATCGGGCAGATTAATAATAATTCATTATTATTATTATTATTATCAGGGCCTTAAACAAACAAAAATTTTTTTTTAAAAAAAACCTTTGAGCTAATTTTTCCAATATTTTTTTTTTTTCTATGCGACGTTTATCCGTAAAACGGCAGAAAACAAAACAAACAAAACAAACAAACAAACAAACAAAAACACTGACGACGTTAAACAGTCCGAGTGAAAAATATAAATCATTTTGGCAGAATAACAGAATATCAGTCAAATTTAAAAAAAAAAAAAAAAAACTTTTACTGGCAATTTTTACTTTTTCTCTCTCTCTCTCTCTCTTTCTACTAATAATTCACGCTCGTGTGGGCGTGAAAAATTATTATTATTATTATTATTATTATTTCCGTTAAATTATTTATTAATCCAAATCATTAGAAATTATTAGGAAAAAATAATTAAACAACATGGCGACGGGTAAGACGTAAAAAAAAAAAAAAAAAAAAAAAAAAACAAAAATAAACAATCGATGGACGCAGGGTTTTCAAAGAGAAGAAAACTTTTTTTTTTTTTTTTTTTTTGTAAATAATTAGGTTATGAGATTTTAACTCTTCGAATTTACTCCCACGCAAAAAAAAAAAAAAAAAAATTCGACCAAAAAATTGACCCATTTAAAAATGTTTCGAATGTTTAACCACGCGACCAAAGAACGTTAAAAAACAATAAAAAGAAAACTCACCGCTTTTCTTTTATCCTCGGCGGAAACTGCGCTGTGACTTCTGTACCTGAACAAATCCATAACTTTCGATACGGTACCTTTACCGCTATCGGAACCCGCTCTAGGCCTTTGAGGATGATGTTTGTCTTTACCAACACCATCCGCCATATTTCTTTGCCTATCTTTAACTTCCGATCCGGCACGAGATCTGTTCGAGTGGTGGGGGTGGTGGTGGTGGTGTTTATCCTTTTCCCTTTCTTCGGATGATCCATCAATCGATGAACTTCTACTCTGAGATGATTGAGATGATCCCGATGCTCTCTAGATAAAAAAAAAAAAAGAAAAAAAATTTTATTTTTCTCCATTTTTTATTAGAGCTAAAATTTCTTTTGCTCAAACAAACAATTGCGAGCTTTAAAAGGTTTTTTTCCTACTCGTTCATTTACGGGAAAATTTTCCATCATTACAAAAAAAATTTCCCTTTTTCACGGCCGATATCGAAACGTAAAAAAAAAACTAAAACTAAAATATCCGTTCGATTGTACACGTGTCCGACTAAAAACTAATTTTAAAAAATTAATAATAATAATAATAAATTAATTCATAACTTTAAGCCTTTTTGTACTTTTTTGTGTGTTGTTTGTTTGTTACTCAAACAAAACACTTTAAAAACACAACAATCATTTTTTTTTTATAAAACAAACAAAAACTAGTTTTTCTAATTTTTTTTTTTTTTTTTTTTTATGAGTACTTGATCTAAATTTTTCACTTTTTTCAATCAATGTCACGCGACAAAATCATACCCGTGAAAGATCGGTACCGATTATTATAACCCGAAAAAAAAAAAACAAACAAACAAACCTTTTCGTAACCTTTTCACAAACCTTTAAATAACTAAAAACGATATAAAATTTATTATTAATTACAACTACAAAACTACTTTTTATTCAAAATTTAATTCGAACGAGAAAAACAAACAAACAAACAAACAAACAAACCGTTTAAATAGTAAACGTTCATCTTTTTTTTAAATTTAAATATCAAAACATTAAGTAACGTTGTTGTTGTTGTTGTTGTTGTTGTTATTATTATTAATATAAAAACCGCTTTAAAATTTTTTTTAAAAAAAAAAACCGAAAGATTAATCGAATCCAACTAGTTTTTTATCGATTATTAATCAATAATTTATGTTTCGATTATGACATTTTTTTTTTTTTTGTTTCTGTTATCAGTAAACCACACATTAATGTGATTTAACAGTTTTACAATTTTTTTTTCTCCGCGTAAAAAAAAAAAAATTTTCGCGACAACGAACAACCGTTTTAAACGTAATAAACTATTCGATGATGACGATAATAATAATAAATAAAATGTAAAAAGAAACGCGATTAAAACTTATTTAATACGAATCGATAAAGACACTGAAAAAAAATTTGCTTTTATTATTATTATTATTATTATTATTTTTTGCATTCGAATTAAAACAACAACAACAACAACAAAAGTTTGTATACCAATTTTCCTGTGTGGTCAGAGAGAGTTCAATGAAAACAAAAGATCAAACGTATTCAAGGCTTAAAATTATTATTATTATTATTTTTTTTTAAAATAGGAATTAACATAAACTTACGTGCATGGCGTTTTTCATTTGACTTATTATATTGCTCGGTTTTTTATTTTTCGATGCATCGGATTTTGAACGGGGTCTAAATGCGTCAAATATTGTTTGAGCTTTACGAGATGGCGACACGTTTGTTAATATGTCATCCCCTGATTTTCTACGTCCTGTAAAATAAATACAAAAAAAATAAATTTAAATTTTTAAGCAAACTTATTAAATATCACAATTTATTGACATTTGTTAAATTTTTTTCTATTTCTTTTCTTATTAAATGAATATTTCGCGAAATAAAATATAATTTAATACCTTTCTTATACACCTGCTACTCGGGTATCAATTAAAAAAGTATTAAATACCATTATTGTTAAGAATTAACGCGATACTTTTATGTGAAAAAACTAACAAAAAAAAAAAAAAATTGAGTAATGACTTAATTCGCTCCTGTTTTATCCGCTTTAAATTATTTATTTATTTTATTTGATAAGTACCGGTACTAGGTGTCGGCGTTACTCTTCCAGAACTAGAATTACTATCCGGTTGTGAAGATGTCGATGTTGTTTTTTGCCTTCTTGAACGTGATGGCATAGACCACGTACCCGCTCTGGGTCTCATTTGAGTTTCTGCTCCTGGGGTCATATGATCCTCGACAGCAATCACAGGCAAAGGTTGAGATCCGAGTTCTTTCTTGAAAATTTAAAAAAAAAAAACAAAAAAAAAAAATTAATTAAATTAAATTAAAATTATTTCAAAAAAATTAAACAACCTTTTTCCAAATAAATAAAAAAAAAAAACTTTTCTCTTTAATTCATTCACAAAAATTTTTCCATTTTCCTTTTTCCTTTTTTCCGACAATCAAAATTTATAACGTTTTCATACATATGTAATTCTCAAGTTATTCACGTCTTTAATTTAAAAGTTATTATTATTATTATCATTACTATTTTTTTCCACCGATTTTTCCTTCGACTTGCAAATAACAAACAATGGAAAATTTTAATTTAATTTTTCTTTTTTTCTTTCTTTTTTTTTTTTTGTAAAACGTGCAACACCGCGACATTTAATATGAATTTAAATTTTCCTTTTTTTTTTTTTTTTTTTTTTTTTAAAGACAATAAAAGAAAATTTTATAGGAAAATTTTTAAAAATTTGACAAATTTACTCACCGTGGGATTAATTATTTATTTAATTCGAGGAAGGAAGGTATATACCAAAAAATCCTGATATGTACCTGACTAATTAAATGATAAGATACACGTACATAAAACACAAAAATGTTTAACGATTTTTTTTTTTTCTACTACTACTACTATTCTTTCATTCACGACAACAACGACAACAACAACAACAACATCAATAAGAGAATTTAATAAATCTGAACATAATTAATTAATCCACGATGGAATGTTTATTTTCCCTTTCACAACATATGATGATAATAATAATAATACCACTTTTTTTTTTTTTTAAATTTTTCAAATCGACAGATTTTTTTTTTTTTTTTTTTTTTTTTTAATTTTGACTCGGTGGGGTTATTTTTTTTTGTTAACGTAGGCACGAGTTTCGAATTACTAATTCTGCTAATAAATTGTTTATTCCACACATTCGAAAATGAAAAAAATATTAAAAAAAAATTTTTTTTTTTGTTTTAACACAAACTTTGTTAAACTCCACGAACGAACAAACAAACTTTTTAAAATTATTATTAAATAAAATGTCGAACTTGAAAACAAAAAAAAAACAAAAAATATTTTATACACAGTTAAAGCTAAACTTCACAAAAACGGTAATATTATAACGCTAAAAATTTTATTAAGCCGGTTGGAACCTGAACCTGAAAATATTTTAAACACGAAATCCCTTTTCGCAGCAAACAAACAAACAAACAAACAAACAAACGAACGAACGAACAGTTACAAGATATTTTCGTTATTTTTAATTTTACATTGAAAAAATTTAAATTGTAATTCGATTCAAATTTTAATTAGAACAAAAAAAAAAAAAAAACTGCCAATTATTATTATTATTATTTTTTCAATGTTTTTAATTAAAAAAAAAAGGGGGGGGAATGTTTTAATTAGAAACATTTTTTCAAATCGTGCAAAAAACGTTTTAAAACAAATACCTGGAAATAAGGAAAACTCTTCAACATTTTTCACTTTTTGGTTTTTTTTGGTTCAAAAAGAAAATTAAATAAACCTGCGAAAACTGTGGAATTTTCCGATTCACAATTTCATTTTTCAAAAATAGTGAGAAAAAAAAAAAAATTCGAAACGTAGTAAAAATTTTCGACTTATGAGAAAGTAAAAAAAAAATTAGTTAAAAAAAAAAACATGTCGTAAGTCTTTGGATTTTAAAAAACTGTAGTAAAGAGAGAGAGAGAGAGAGAGAGAGAGAGAGAGAGAGAGAGAGAGACGTGATAAATAGTAAACAATTTAAAAAAAACAAAACTCAAATGAGGACAGAAAAGAAGCTTTAATTAATTTCTCTCTCAAAAGCAAATATAAAAATAATTTATCTGTTATGTGACCTTCTCATCATCTCAATTTCCTTGAGCAAGTGATATACCACACGCACACGCACACTTTTACACACACTCACGTTTTGCTAAAAATCATTAACCCATTTAAATAAATAAATGTGCCTGGAAATTTTTACATTGTTTTCCGCGGGAAATTTTTAAAATTTTTGGTTTTGACAAATCCTCTCATTTTCACTCCAATTCCCAAAGATAGATTTTATCGACTACACCATTTTTGAGGTTGGCAACAATTTAAATTTAAAAAAAAAAAAAAAAAAATTTCGAAATCGAACGAACCAAATGAAAATCTTGTCCTTTTCGATAAACAAACAACACAACCCGTAAAAATTTCACATTAACAAAAAAAAAAAATAATAATAATAATAATAGAATTTTTTTTTTGCTTTTCGTACGAAATGACAAACAACGGCCATGTTGTTGATTTTTTTTAATTTTTTTTTTTTTGTTAATGCGGTAGTAAAAAATAAGTAGGTAGGTAGATAGGTAGGTACCTGTTTTCGGCGTACTGTTTCTGGTGTGAAATTAACATCATTTCTTTTAACCCAAACTTCGTCCATTGAATCGTAATCGAGAGTCGATGATGATGATGCTTGACTTTTCATTTCTATAAGGGAACAATCGAAAAACCTTTTGTCTAAATGTGGAGAAGGCAATGGAGAGGTTCGACTCGTAGAATACCAATTACCGACCGGTTCCATGGATCCGTATTGTGGTAAACTCGATACTAAAGTACCTGAAAACAAAAATTTTACACGTGAAAGTTTTATTTGTTTTTAAGGTTTCCAACAAACACTCGCGCGTTTCCCAAAATGAAAACAATAAATAAATAAAAATAACCTGGCGATTCTCTTCCAACGTTTCCAACACTGGCAAATCTACGTCTCAATGGTGCTGTAAAACCAGTAGGAGTTGTTGGTCTTGAAGATGGTGTCGACGGTGTCTTGGGAGTCGTAGAAGGGGGAGTTTTCGGCGTCTGAGGAGGCGTCGGACTTATGGTCGAAATTTTACTATCGATTTTTGTTTCGACATTTTCCGAATCGTTTCCCTCCGTTTTTTTCTTCTCTTCCTCTTTGTCCTCCGCATCTTCGTCTTCTTCTTTACACTCGGACAATCTTCGTCTGTTACCCTCCCACGGTGACCATGCACTTGGATAATTTGATCTACTCGGCAAACGATTAACGTGTTGTAAAAAATGATACTGAAACCACGAACTATCGCCAATGTTTTCAGTATCACCCGTTCCCAATATTTCTTTTAATGCCACTAAAGAATTGATTGTGTTGTAATTGATGGCCGTGTATAAATCTTCGGAAAATTGATCATCTTCTTCTTCTTCCGATAATGTTTTCTCTTCTTCTTCTTTTTTATTATCATCTCCCCCGACTGCATTTTTTTTATTGTTCGGTTGTAAATTTTCCAATATGTTGGTCGCTTTTTCAGATGCATCGTCATAATTGGAATTATTTGTTACATTATCGTTATTTTTTTCCATTAAGTCATTAAATTTTTTTTTAAAATCTTTCCTAATACTTTAACTTTTTTTTTTTTTTTTGTTTTTCCCGTATCAACGACTATATTATTTTCCGTAAGCTGAAACATAAAAAATAAATAATGTTAATATATATTTTAAAAAAATTATTAATCGATTAATAAATAGCCCCAAGGTCGCATACAGTTTCCTTTCCTTTCCTCCATTCAATCTAATAATTTTTTTAATAAAATTATTACAAACGTACCTTAATTAAAAAAAATTAATTAATTAAATAAAATAAAATAAAAATAATATTATCGACGAAATAAAAATTATTTAAATATTGTAATAATCATATTAAAAAATTTTTTAAGACTGAAAAAAAAAAAATAATAATAAAAAATGAAGGTTTCAAAACAAAAATCAAGTTTTTATTAAATTGTTTTTATGACGTCAATCCAGGTAATTTTTTTTTTTTTTACGTAAAAAACTTACGATCGAAGTGAAAGCAATTTCAAAGCAATATGTTTATATATTAAAAAAAAAAAAAAAAAAAAATACATAATGTAATATCATGTTACTAACGAATAACCGAATAATACAAAACAATTTACGATTTAAATATTAAAATCGATTGACATTTAAAACTAAATGGTGCTAGTAATAATAAAAAAAAAAATTATTTTCATTACTCGACAAACAAACAATAAAACCTCTTTTTCAACTTTTAATGATTTCTGTGTGTTGTTTTTTTACACACAGTTTTTTTTTTTTTTTGTTATAACATTATTATAATATATTAATAAAATATTAAAAATTCATAAGATTTTCTTTTTTCCTTTCTTGTTTTTCCTTTTGGTAAAATTCATTGAACGATAGCAAATAACAAGACACACACATTTTGTTAGCGAATACATTGAAAGTAAAATTCATTATCATTCGTATATATATATATAATATTTAAACAATAAAATATATAAAATTTAATTAAAATGAAACATTTATTATTATTATTATTATTAATTTTTGTCAAATTTAATATACTAATTAATAATAAATTTTTGCAAGTTTTATTTTATCATAAGGAAACGATATAATAAAAAAAAAAAAAAAAAAAAAAACCAAATAAAAATTATTTGGAACTTTAGGGGTGGTTTTTTGATCAAAAATAAAAATATTATTATTATTGTAATAAATAAAAATTTATTTAATATATATTTATTTTAGTCTATTTATATATATATATATATATATATATATAATACAAATTATGAACCATAAAAATAATAATTATTTAAACAATATATTCATAGACTAATAAATTATCGATTTAATAAAATTAAACTACTAAATTTTTTTTTTTTTACTAAAAATTAATTTCTAATTTATATGTAATAAAATTATTAAATAAATTGAGAATGATTGAAATTTTATTTATTTATTTATTTATTTATTTTTCAAACACCACAAAAAAAAAAAAAAAACAAATGCAATGAGTCGATAATTGTATAAATCGTATTTTGTTAAATGACAAATAGTACATATAAAAAAGTAAAACTTATCGTTAAATATTACACAATACAATTTTTTCTCATATTACTTCATATATATATATATAGTATATTATCAATTAAATTAAGTTTTTACAATATAAACAAAAAAAAAAAAAAAATATTGTTCATTCCATTACCAAGACATCATATAAAACTTAGAATAATAATAATAATAATATTAAAAATTAATTGTTTTACGTACAAAATATAAATTATATTTTTAAATTTATACTAAAACCTTAAAGAAAAATAATAATAATAAATTTTTTTTTTTTTTTTTTAAATGAAAATTTGTAAAAATATAAATTACTCTATTGTTAACTATCCTAACAAAACCAGCTGTTTTAATAAGGGTCAAGGACGATTCACCTAACCATGTGAATAGTTGCAATATGTTTGAAAAATAATCAATTAAAAATAATGTGACAGCTAATATAAAAATATACACGACATTAGAAATAAATAAAAAACAATTTAATCATTATAAGAATATTGAAAAATATTGATTAAAAGAAAAGAAAAAAGGACATTACATAGCACACTCATGAAATCGAAAATGTGAAAAATTCAATCAATCACGCATCTATCTCGAAATTAATATTAAATAAAAATTTACATAATATAAATAAATAAAAAAATGAATGAGTAAATTTAAAAAAAATATTCGAGTGACGAAACAAAAAAAAAAAAGAATAAGGCAAATCACCCCGAAAACTTCATTTTTGTAAAAAAAAAAAAAAAGTTAAAATGGCGGTTCAAATTGAACAAAGAGAACTTAAAATACAAACCTATTTAAATCTTTAAAAAACAAAAAAATTAACAAAAAACAATCAACAACACACACAATCTTCACGCACTGAATTTATATATTATTTATTCGATTGCACTTTAACCTAAAACTAATTATAATAAATTTATTTTATTTAAATTATTATTATTATTACATTACGTTTAAACGCACGCACACTTATTTAATTAGAATTTACTAGAAAGTAGGACTTGAAAAAAAAAAAAAAAAAAAATTCGACCGTTCGGCAAACCTTCAGATAAAGGCACTCTATTTACACGTTTTTATAAAAAAAAAAAAAAAAAAAGACTCCGCAAATGGATTAACAAAAAAAAAAAAAAAAGAAAGAAGTAAATTAATATTATAAATAAAATCGCGTTTTATTCATAAAAACGAATAATTATTATTCGAAAAATTCACCAAATTATCACTTGTGTAATGAAAAAATAAAATTTATATATATATTTAAAAAAAAAAAATACCCGACCAATTCATCGCAACAGATTTTCAATGGCATCCATTTTGCAAAAAAAAAAAAAAAAAAAACTTATATTTTAGTTACAAAAACGTCCGTCGTAGGGGGAGGGCGTCGTCGGTACATGTTTAATTGCCAACATAATTATACAATTAATTTGAATTGAAAAATATAATTATGAGATTCTCCCTTTTTTTTTTTTTTTTTTTTTTTTTAATTTAAATTTTAATTATAATATTAAACACTAAAAAAATAATTATTTAAAAAAAAAAAAATTAATAAATTTTATATTTACCATTATTTATTTCTATTGTTAATAATTAAAATAAATACATAATTTATATGTATTAATCTTGTAATCCTTCCTTAATAACAATGTAATTTTTTTTGTACAAATTTATGACTGTCACTCACAATAAATAATAAATGTTAAAAGCCAATTAAAAAATGTAAAAAAGCAGGTCTTTAATTTAAATATTATCACTTATATCAACATTGCGGTTTTTTTCCTCAAAAATTTTTATATATATATATAAAAAAACAAACATATGAGTTGACTATTTCTTTTCTTAAGCAAGGTTTTTTTTTTTTTTTAATTTTTATTTTAAGTATTTTTACATACATATTTAATATTTTATTATTATTGTATCATTTTAAGCCTTTTTTTTTTTTGTTAAAATTAAAGTATTAATAACAACACACAATCATTTTGTTTCAATTTTATATAATATTATTACTTTCAAAGAGTATAAGGACTAAAATTTTAGTAATTTCTTAAGGTTTTGATTACTTTTGAAAATAATTGAGAAAAGATGATATTTTGTACATTACTGCATAACATTATTAAAAGAAATACTCTTAATTGTATTTAAAATTGTTCAGAATTCAAAAAAACTTTTTTTTTTTATTTTAATTTCTACATACATGTATGAAGTTTAAGTTATAAGTTTTGGCGCTTTCACGTTTTTTTTAATCGAATAATATTTGACAAAATCTACCCTGATAAGGTTTTTTTTTTGATAGAAAAAAATTAAGACTTACATCATTGTAATAATTATCATCTTCTCAATAAATTAACAAGCTATTTATTCCATCATAACCTTGATCTTAAAATAAAATATTTTAATCTTAACTTCTAACCACCATTTTCTCCATTAAAATTTTTTGAGTAATTTTTAAAAGGCGGTGGTGGTGGTGGTTGTAGTAGTCAATCAATTTAAAAAATTTAACAAGATTATAATTCATTACTAAATTATTGTGGAAAACCCCAAATTTTTACAACGTATTATAATAAATACATACATATAATATTATTTTTTAAATAAAATTTTAGTAATGGGATCCCGGGGACAGGAAGAAACTAAAAAATTAAGAGAAAATTTAGAAAGTCAATTAGAAAGATTAATTCAACAACTTGCTGATATTGAAGAAGTTAAAAATGAAATGGATCAAAGTGAATATAACGATATAAAAGAAGAAACACTCGAACAATTGAAAGAATTTAACGAAAGGTTGTCTAAAATGATATCGGGAAATATGACATTAGTCGACCAGTTAGGGTTAATGCAACTTGTAAGCATTCATTTTTCATTTTATATTTGCTTAAAATTAGAAAAAAAAAAATGATTTAATAATGTAATTTATTTCAGGCGACACAAGCTGCTATAAGTGAAGCATTTAGTACTCCTGAAGTTATTAGAATGTTTAGTAGAAGAGAACCGAAACAATTGAGACAAAGACTTTTCGAAATAGAAAGAGACTTTAAATTAGGACAAATAAGTGAACAACAGTTTAACAAATGCAAAGTAAATATGACCAATCTTCGATTATGCATAAATATTATTACATACCAAAAAATAATATGATATTTTTATCGATTTACAGAAAGAATTTTTAACAGCATTAAAACAATTAAATGAAAATTTAAACGATGAAGAAATCAAATTTCTTAACGGAAATAAATCAGTTAGTAATAATGCACTTTTTGAAAAAGTCACAGAAGAATCTGGTAATTATTATTATTATAATATTAATTTTATTTTAATTAATAAATTGTTTTATTTGTAAATTTCACTTAACAAATTCCCTTTTTTTTTTAAAGATAAAGTTGAAGCTGTAGTTAAACAAGTAGCAAAAGAAGCTCTTTATTCGGAAAAAACAATCGCTCATGTTCCCGGATGAACTATTTCATATGACAAAATTCATTCGTAATTAAAATTACATTTTCCAAGTCAAATTTTAAATTCGATTATGTGTCATTAAAAAAAATAATTAATAATAAATCTGTATGAGTGTTTTTATCTGTATAATGTAAAATTTTTATGTATTTTTTATTTATTAAACAGACAGAGGCTTTAATATATGCCTTACAAGAAAGTAAAAAAATTAAATAAATTGAAAATAATAATGAATAAACAAGTTTTTTTATTTGTAATTTTGTATAAATATTTCAAAATTATTTTATTTTACTTTATTATTATTATTTTTTACAAATAAAAGAGAGCTAAATAAAACATTAAAATTATGTACAAAACAATAAATAATTGGGATAATAATGACTAACTATTGATTATCACTACTACACATTTTCTCACCCCCCCTCGAAATGAATAACATAAATTATTATTATTATTTATCGATTGAAATGTTGAAATAGTACCAGATTCTTAAATAAAAAATTTTAATATTAATATTATTAATTGATCTTATTGCTTTTTCCCCCCCCTTCCCCTCCCCCCTATTGATTGATCATCGATTGAAAATTAAAAATTGATCACATTTATTAAAACACATACATATACTTAAAACTAATTACAATTAATTTGAATTAAAATTAATTTCTTCTTTTTTTGTTTACCAACAAAAATAATAATGATAATAATAAGAACAGAAAAAAACGATTACATTATTAAAATAATTATTAACATTGATTTGATAAAACTTATTAACATGCGATATATTTAAATTAAAAATTTCATGATTCTGATTGAAATATTTTAATTAATTAATTATTTACACGGATAAAATTATTCGAAATGCCAAAAAAAAAAGAAATTTCAGTCGATTAAATCGTAATAATAATAATAATAATAATTTCACATTCACGTATCAAATGATAATAATAATAATAATAATATTTTTTTAATAAATATATATATATATATAATAAATATTTAATATGTGTGTGGGAAAATAAATAAATTTTTATTTGTTTGTTCCTTCGTTTATCACATTTCATACGATTTGTGACCGAAAATTAAATTTAGATACGACAAACATTTAAAGCTAATATAAATATAATTTTTTTTTTGGAAGTAACAAACAAACAAACAAACAAGAGAAAAGAAAATAAGAACAAACAAACAAACAAAAACCGTATTCGAACGATTACTGCCACTACTACTACTACTACTGCTACCACTACCACTACTACCATTCATGACGTAAACATTTTAATAATTATCGCGTATTTAAAATATATACACACATATATATATATTTTATTATTATTATTATTTTCTAATAAAATATTAATTTTACTTGATTACGCATTATTTAATAATATCCCTTTCCCCTCCCCACCCCCACCCCTCCCCCTTTTTCTTTTCTCTTCCTCTTTCATTCACTTTTTTAAACATTCATTAAACAAACAAAAAGAAAAATCACATGGATTGTGTGTAAATATCTCTCTCTCTCTCTCTCTCTCTTTCTGTGTATGTATGTGTGTGTGTGTGTGTGTGTCAGTTAGTCACGATTAAAATAATAATAATAATAATAATAATAATAATAAAATAAAATCAATTTCATTAATTAAAAACAAATATTAATAATAACTAATAATATTGCACCGATTTATGCAATAAGTAAAATTGCTTTTAAATTTCATTTTGACATTACATTACATTTTCGATTAATCGAAATAATAGTAGTAATAATAATAATAATGATGATGATAATGATAATAATGATAATGGCAAAACAAAATATAACGAACCGTCGACCCGTCGGAAAAAAAAAAAAAAAAACAAAGATGCGACGGTGTTATAAATTATTTTAACATCTCCTGTCGTATCCTGTTTCCTCATCCTAATTAACCGACAGCCATTCTGCATTATCATCATCATCATCATCATCATCATCATGGATCCTTTGTAATCTCGTGCAAAAGAAAACCGGTTGTTGCAAGATGAAGTTCGAGGAACAAATACGTCGACATCCGTTATAGGATCGAAGAAACCCACGAGTTCCCCCGTCGCCACTTCAATTATTGCTGTTGTTATTATTATTATTATTATTACTACCACTACCGCTACCGCTACCGCTTCACTACCATCATCCCTTTTGAAAGTAAAAATTCTTTTTTCGAATACTGATAAAAAATTGTAAATGGGTGGTATTGCCTGGTCCTAAAATCAATAAACAACAACAAAACTGGTTAGTAGCTCCTCATTTAAAATAATTTAAGGATTTTCCTTTTTCCTTTTTTTGGAAAACTATTTACCGTTAAAAACATTTTATCTTTTCCTCCTGCAAACTCTTTTATGTTCGGATTGCCAATGTGCTTGCTGACATTCGACGCTGCAGTAAGCAGTATTCCAACAGCAGTGGTATATTGCTTCAGTCTCACAGTTGTAACACTACAAGTGAAGGAAGGGGGAGGGGGGTAAAAAAAAAAAAATTAATAAATGATAATGATAATAATAAATTGAGTTTACGTCATCACTCACTCACCCATTGTTTCTTTTTTATTTCCGATATATTCATGACGTGTTTGTTGTTTATCTCGGACAATTCATCCTCGTGATCGCTCCTCATCCTTTCCAAAATCACTCTCGTCTTGTTCAATTCGACTTCGAGCATTTTGCTCGCGTTCAATTGAACCTGCAATTCTTTTTCCAATTCCGCGATCCTTTCCGCTTTTTGTACCAATTCTTGAGATTCTTCCGCGGTCACTTCCGCTCGACTCGTTTGAACGGAAACGGATCGCGTTATCGGTTCCTGCGACGAACTCGACACGATCGTTTCCTCTTTTTCCTTCAACTCTTCCTTGTCCTCCGCCTTTTTATTTTTAACCTTTTTATCGTCGACAATATTTTTTTGCTTTTTTATTTTTTGTACTTTTTCCTCGAGCGATTCCGTTTTTGATTTTTTCGTACTTTTTTTCAATTTTTTATCCAATTCCGACTCGGATTCCGTTTCTTGTTTCAATTCGCCCCTTTTCCGGTGCTGATCCTCCGAATCCGAACTTTCGTAACTTTTTTTTTTATTTTTACTCTGTTCCTTTTTCAATTGTTCGTCGTTGATATCCAATTTCGAAATGTATTTTTTAAACATTTCTCTCATTTCCGCCATTTCTTCCGTTTTGTTTTCCATTTTACGAGATAGAGGCTCTTCCGAATCCGAACTATTATTGCAGCATTCCTTTTCCGCTTTGCTTCCGCTCGAATTTTTCACATTTCCCTTGTCTTTTCCAAATTTCTCTTCGTCATCGTCGTCGAATGCATCCTTACCACTTTTATTCATGACTCTTTGACTCGCTCTCTGTCCGATTTTTCCGCCGTCTTTATTTTTCCCCTTTGTACTAACTTTAAAATCGTTTTCCGGACTCGTCGACGTTTCTTTCTTCGACGTGCTTCTAGTAAATTGTTTTTTTTCTCTCGCCGAACTTTCAATATCGTTGCTATCGGAAGCCTCTTTCGATTTCCCGTGTCGGGTATCTTTGGCGGAAGCCATGTCGGAATCCGAACTCACGTTGACTATTTTTAATTTCATATGATTTTTATTTTTCTGGTTACGATCCAACGAGAGTTTAATTTTCGTTTCGGGTTTGTTTGTAGGTAGGACAGTCTTTTTCATATTATTTTTTATTAAATTATCCTTTGATTTATCATCGTCATCCGAGTCATCCGTATAATCTCCATCGTTTCTTTTTGATTCAGGCGTCGTCTTTTTTTCCGACCCGTTTGCTTTCAGTTTGGAAGTTTTCCCGGAGTTTAGCGAATTTTTTATTTTTTTACTCGTTTCCCCCATGCTCGCATTTTCCGAAATGCTATCTGACGTGCCGTCGGATTCAACGACGGTATCAGATTTTTTACAATTAAATTTGTCTTTGTCATCTTTCGAATTATCCTTTTCGACATTTTTCATGTTCAATTTTGATGAGATCTTTTTATTTATTCCCGTTTTGAATTTTTTTTTAGGCGAGTTTAATACGAAATCCGAGTCTGAAAATAAAACAAGAAAAAAATTTTCCGTTTCCGATCAATTTACATAAAATAAAATCAAACTGACATAATCCTATTTTTACTCACCCGATTCTTCCTTCGAACTAAAATCCGATTCGTCGTCTGCTTCCGAACTCGATGTATAAATTTTCTGAACAATTTTTTTTGAAGTTTTCCTACCATTTTCTGAATTCCTGTCTTTAAGATTTTCCTGATTACTCCTCGCAATTTTTTCAAACGACAAATTTTGATTTGATTCTTTCAAACTAAATAAAGTGTTGCCATTGCTGTTGCTGCTGCTCGTTTTAGACGTGTTCGATGATTTTTTTTTCGTTTCGAAATTATCATTTGAACTAACGGTCGATGAATCGAATGTTTCACATTTGTTTTTCTTTTTCTTTGTCATTTTTTTTTTATTTGATTCGTCGTCTGATGAATCCGAACTTTCCGTTATTTTTTTACTGTTTTTTTTACCCGTACTTTTGTTGGTTTTAAGAAATTTCGAAAGTTTGCCACCGTCCTCGGAGCTCATATTTAACCATTTTTTCATTTTCAAATCTGCCGATTCCTCTTTGGAAATATCTAAAATAAAAATAATTATTGAATTTTTTTTAGAAAAATTAACTTCATAAAAATACAAATGAGTTTGACTCACCATCTTTTGCCGAGTCTGATTTATTAGATCCTTTGGGTTTATCCACTCCCGATTTTAATAACTCGTCGAAAATCTCATCCGTATTTTTTTTTGGCAAATTTTCATTTTTTGAACTGTTATTAAAAGTAAAACTATCTAACGAATCACTACTAAAGTCATACACCTCTTTTTTTTTCCTTCCCTTTTTAGACTTGATGGAACCTGAACTATTCATAATCTCACTACTACTTCCCTTCATCGGTCTTCCCCTTTTTTTTTTTACGACAGACGTTTCCGTCACTTTCGGCGTCGATATTACGCTAGAGCTCGATCTTCTTTTGACTTTTTGTTTCATTAACATGGCGTTGTGTTTTTCCATTATGGCTTTTTGCTTTTTAATCCGATTTTCTTTTTCTATTTGTCTTTCTTGCTCTGTGTCGATGCTTTCGTACTCGGAACTCGAACTCGATTCTACAAATTTCGTAAAGTTGTTTGTGGCTATCCTAGCTTTTTCAAGAAGTTCTTGATGTCTTTTCAATTCTTCGCAAGCTTTGTTCCAAGCTGATGATCTTTTTCCTTGAAGCGTGTGAATGTTGACTGAAATGGGTCTAATATGAGCTTTTGGAATCATGGCTCTCAAATGTTGGGCACCGAAAAACCGAACATCATATTGATCGTCTTCGACTTTGATTACCTAATAAAAAATAAATGTGTATTATTTTCCTTTAATGATTTTAAAGTACTTTTCAATAGTGAATAATTCAAAACTTACTTTTGCAGGCCAATAAGGAAATCCAAATTGTTTTGCATAAACTAATTCGTGTGGCTTTCTACATGGCTTGCAAAACCATAATTTTTTTTTATCCCCGTGGCTTTGCTTATAACAATCCACACATTGCTTTATTTCCTGCAAGTCTTGAATGCAGTCTCTAAGCATTTGCCTTGCAATATCAGCAACAGCACTGTCGACTTTAAACAATCAATTCATTATTTTTAGTATCAGATGTTTTTAAACACAAAACAAAATTAATTTCAATTACCTCCATTATAAATGACCATATTGTGAACAATATTAAGTGCATCTACATGAAACTCTTCCAAGAGTTTGTATCTGTGTTGGTCGATTTTGTCTTCCATAAGAGTGAGATTCATATCTCTAGCAATGAGTAATTGGGTTCTCCATGCTTCATTTTCATCCGGGGCAGGAATTGTAGGGGGAGTCAAGACCTAAAAAATTATAAGATGTAAATAATAAAAAATAATTTTGTAATTTTATTCTAACCTCAGCATCATATTATAATTACCTGAGCCAGCCTATCGGAAACTAAAACATTTTTATTCGGAGGTGGAAGCCTTTGATCTTTTAATGTAAGTGGATATTTTGATTTTAATTTTTGAAGTGTATAACCCAACAGTCTGTTTAATTTTGATTTTTTCATTTGAAATTTATCTGGAGTTACTTCGCACATCTAAAAAAAAAATTTTATTAAAATTTATGAAAACACGACTAAAAGACAAAGACACATGTAGACGATTCATAGTTTTTAATTACCTTACAAACATGGCATACAAAAGCTCCCTCAGGAAGATCAGTTGATGAAATGCAAGCAAGATGATAAACTCTAAGGCAGTTAGGTCTGGAACAGCATATTACATCTCCAGCTCTATGACAGTCAAAACAATACCAATCAAAATCATCTGGCTTCAACTGCAAAATCAAATGGTTAATAATTTAAAAAATATGATTTACTTTAAAATAATATTCGATCACTTGCTAAGACATATTAAATATTTACACTGAGTAAAGGCAATTTGTAACCTTCTTGTTCCGAACCTATATAATTCCCTTTACTTATAGTTCTCTTTGTTATCTCAATTAAGCCATCTCTAACACAATGGTTTAACTGCCTGGTGACTTCTTCTTCACTAACACCAAATTCCTTAAGCATAAATTTTTGAATTCTTTCAGCTGTAGGAACTTGCCTTTGGCCCCTTATATTTTTAATGGCATCCCATAGCTGCTGGGTAACTTGTGGACAAGAAACCCTTCTGCGAGTCATCGACTCGAATAAACTAAAACGATAAAAAATAAAAGTTTATAAGAAAGAGAGTGAGGGAATGATTATAGATAATTTTGATTAAAAAAGCAAACACCCACTTTTTAGTAGAACCAGACATTCTCTGCTTAAGTATCAGTCATCACTGAAGAGAAACTGTAACCAAATACAAATAATTAATTTGGTAAATAAACTACACATAGATAAATTGTTAATATAAAAAAATTTTTTGTTAATTTTACGTTAAATAAAATGTTGATGAACATCAAATAATAATTGATAGAGTAAAAAGGATAATAACTTTTCTTTTTTCGCGGGTTTTTGAAAAAAACAAAGTGAAAAAAAAAAAAAAAAAAAACATAGTTTAGTAAAGAAAAATAACATAAAGGCCGTTAAAAAAATACACATTACGTATTATTTACAGACGTTAAGAAAATTTATAATAAAACGATAAAGCACAACAATTAATACAAAGAACTAATAAAAGAATTTAATTTACATCTAAACTCACCACTCCATTTTTCTTTTAAACAAAGAATGTTGCGAATGTTTTCAATAAAACAATTACATTTTTACCGTTTGTTTAAAAAAAATTTAAAGTTTATGTTATACAACTATTTAAAATGACCACGGTTATTATTTTAAAACAAACTAATAGTAATTGTTTTAAATTTACGACAAAAATAAACTGTATTTTGATTAACTAACGCTCCGGCCATTTTGAAATTATTTATTGTTAAGTGCGTTACAATACATAATTGCATTTTAACTAAAATACCTATTTAATTTTTAAATATAAAAAAACTATTCGCAATAAAAATTTTTAATTTATTAAAATTAATTAATTACAAGTGATCATTTGACAATTATAATTTATAATAAAATTTGTGCGTAAATATTCAAATAATGATTAAAAAAAAAAATAATAATAAAGAAACGCGATCATTAGCCAACGTTTGAAAAGAATATTGTAATTTAAAAAAAAAAAAAAAATTTAAATTCGAACAAATAAAATTTTTAATAAATTAAATAAAGAATAATTTACTCTAAAACTTTTGGAAATCACAATTTAATAATAAATAAACTTTGAAAATATTGTACTTTTAAAAATGTTTTTTTTTTTTTTTTTAACCCCCTTTAGGTTCTCTATTAAATAAATAAAAAAAGATTAATTAATAAATAATTAATAAAAAGATTTTAAAAAACGATACAGATATAAGATAAAAAGTACCAATTTATAAATTCCAGTATATTTTTTTATTTTTCCATAAAAAAAAATTTATAAAAAATTTTAACAATGTAAATCTAAATATTTAAGTAAATATATTTGTCATTTCTCTGTTTTAAGCATAAATCAACATTTTTTTTAATAGAAAAGGTTTCGCGTTTTAGTAATTAATAATATATATTTTTTTCAGTAATTTTTTATAAAGTAATAAGAGAAAGTATTTTTTTGTAGGCCTAAAATAAAATTTTTTTTTTTTTAAAAAAAGACAAAAAAAAAAAAAAATGAAATTCGAAAAGTTAACTAACTGTTTTACGAACGTTATTTTGCTAGCGTTTAAAGCTGAGTCATAGAGAACAATTACAAAGATCTATTTTCGAACGCGGACCCCAGTAAGAGGAAATGTAAAATGGATGTGCTTACAAACGCCGAGTAAATCAAAGCTATGAAATATATTTTATTATAAGTTCTTATTATTTTAGGTATATTTATTACGTTTTATAATGTTTATATTATTTAAATAAATTGCCTTTACGTTGTTTCACGTGAAGAAAATCATTTTTAAAGTAATAAATAGTTTTTTTTAACGGAAACACCAAAAAAAATCATATATATGTGTTTTATTAATTTCGTATTGTCGGTATTTACATCTATTGATTGGTATTTTTCATTCCAGAGTTATTTAACGACTTATTTTAATTTATATTTTGGAATAACGTTAAATTATAAAACTGGATGCTTTATTCAATGGTGTTGGTTATGATAAAATCGACGTGAAGATGCTGAAACAGGTTTTGTTTATTTGTTTGTATTCATTCTGTCTCTTTCTTGAGAGACAAAGATGTGTAAAATTTATTTCATTTTATTAACCTTTATGTGTATTTAAATTTTATTTAATTACTATAAATAATTAATTATTGCATTTTTAAAAATATTAAAATTTATTTTAGCTCTACTTTAATCATATATTATATCTAAATACATTCAATTTTATTGATTTAATTGTAGATGTGCAAGTAAAAGTCAAAGCATTTTTTTACTTTGTCGTTAAGTATTATTTGTTTTAAATATTATTTTTATTATTATTATTATTATTATTAATTAATATTAATTATTATTATTAATATTATTAATAAATATCTACAATTACATTTAAAAATTTATTTTACACATTAAGTAGTGTAAGAGTATATTATATTATTTTGCAATTCCTTTTTAGTATGTCTATTAACACAGGATGGTTGCAGCAACCTACCAGATCTGACCAACAGCATCTCAGTAATGCGATTGTAATAAAAGCGGAAGATCAACATTTATTTCTTCAAGCAACCGATTCATCAGGCCAACAACGAGGTTTAATTAAAATTCCGACAAGTTCTGTAGTTGGGAAATGCTCCATGTTTACTCAAACAGAGCCAACGAATAGGTAATTTTAAGTTACTTTTAGAATCAGAGGCAGAAAAACCAAAGTGAGCTATTTCTTCGAAAGAAGCTTTCATACAATGAAGAAATGTTGTAAAATCATTTTTGAAAATTTTAATAATTAGATTTACTCAAACTGAATCAACTCCACTCACCTATAGGGGAGATAACGGGAGGGGTAATGAAACTACGACTACTGCCACAGCTATTGCCATGTTTGAACCAGCTCAAGTTCAACCTCAGGTTTACATTGCAACAGCAGTCGAGAAAAAAGATCCAGATTGCAAAACGGAATTCCCTTTCTGTTATAACGTCAATATGATTCAAAAAGTTCCAGTGAGTTAATTTTATTAATAAAACTATGTTTTTAAAATTAAAATTTAGTTTGTAAATTTTATTTATAATTTTTAAAAAAAAATTCATTCATTCATATTGTTAATTGTAAATTATAGGTCCAAACAACCACAGGCACGACGGTTGGTACTGCTGTAGTGGATGACAAAGGATGTTATCGTTTGGATGTTGGTCAACCATTTTCATATAACTATGCATTAGTCAATCAAATGTCACTGGCAGCTGCTACCTCATTCAAATGTGATGTATGTGGTTTAGCTTTTGCACATATCTCGTTATTAAATCATCACAAACGTGTTCATGCTCAGAATTCGGTAATTTGGTACTTCTATTTATCAAAGAATCACACACCTCTTTATTGAGCACTTCATTTTAAAAATAAATTTAGATAAAATAAAAGAAACAAAGAAAAAAAAAAAAAAAAAAAAAGTAATCAAAGAGAACGTGAATAAAATTTAAGATAAATTTTTTTTTTTTCAGGGTCCAACACAGCAATTACAGTCACAGCAACAGAATGCAGAGCAACAAACGGGTCAGCAACAGCAATCGCAGCAACAGCAACCTCAACAGCAGCAAAATAGACAATATAATTGTGACATTTGCGGAATGTCTTTCAATTTATCAGGGGAACTTAAAAGTCATAAAAATGCTTTACATAAGGATCATCAGGGTAGGTTTATCATTATCAGGCACATTCATTTTCCAACCTCGTTGAATTTTCCTTCCTTGCAAAGAAAACTTATAAATTTTGTTTTTAGTTACTATGAGTGAGCCAGAGCCCAAAATTTCAGTAACGAGGTCGTGTGAAATTTGTGGTTTGGAAGTTACAATGAATCACATAGCCGGGTTAAAAAGAAAGAAATTTAAATGTTCAAATTGCTTGGAGGTATTATTATTATTATTTTCCAAAATAAAATTTAAAATTATATCAATTTCATATAAAAAAATTATTATTATCATTTTTTAGTCTTTTCATTTAAAACACATGGAAAATAACACGAGTAGTTTTGGCGGAAGTGGAAATTCGGGCAATAGCGCGACCACTTCGTCCTCAACGGGAGGAACGAAACCGGGTCACCATCCAGTGAAAAAGCGGGGATTGCCTTGCGTGACAAAGTGTCAACAGTGTAACGGATCTGGAATAATATTTATCGGGGGATCAAAAAATCATAAGTTAAGTCATGCCGAAAAAACATTTCAGTGCAATATATGTGAGGGGACATTTTCTAGGTAAATCAATGGAATTTAAATTCCGATTTAAAAAAATTTAATTCATTAAAATTTTCCCAAAAATTTTTTTTCAAAGATATTCAAGTTTGTGGTCTCATAAAAGACTTCACACGGGTGATAAACCGTTTAAATGTTTGCGTTGCGGGCTGTGCTTTGCCAAGGCAGCGTACCTTAAAAATCATAGTAGAGTACACACGGGAGAAAAACCTTTTAAATGTAACACATGCGGAATGCAATTTTCCCAGTCTCCTCATTTGAAAAATCACGAAAGGATTCACAGCGGCGAACGGCCGTATCAATGCGAGGTTTTCTCTTTTTTTTTTCTATTTCCACGTTTTTTTTTTTAAAAGAAAATTATAAGGGAATTGAAATTTTTTTTATTATTTTTTTTACCGACAGATTTGTGAAAAAACATTTGCCAGACATTCAACCCTGTGGAATCATAGGGGTATACACACGGGAGAAAAACCTTACAGGTGTAACGTGTGCGATTCGAAATTTAATCAAGCAACTCATTTAAAAAATCATTCAAAGGTTGGAAAATGGAAAATTAAATACAAAAATTTTTTTTTTTTTTACGGTCGTTCGAGCGAGCGAGCGCGCCCCCCCCCACTTACGCAACACTTTTTTTATTTTTGTTAGGTTCACACGGGTGAAAAACCTTTCAAATGCGACATTTGCGAAGTTAGTTTTGCCGATCGATTCGCATTGAAACGACACAGGAGCGTACACGAAAAATATGCTCGAACGGCAACGAATCAAGCAGCTGCTCAAGGCATAATAAAACTCGAAGGTAAAATAAAAGAAAAAATTAAAGATGATTATAAAAAAATGGAAGAAAAGAAAAAGAGTTATGAAAAAAAAAAAAAAAAAAAAAAAAAAAAATGGCGTGTCATTTTTCTTAAATTTTTTTTTTTTTAGGAAATGGTAATTCCGTAAACGCCAACGCGACGGTATCCGTAGATTTAAGCATGGGACAAATATTTAAATGCGAAGTTCCTTGCGATCCTTGTGACGTAGCATTTCCAGGATGTTCACGTGGACAGGATACGAAGCAATAAGTTGTTTCATTTTAATATTTAAAAAAAAGAAAAAGAAATAATTTACCGTTAGAATCAATTGCCTTTGGTATTTCTCTCACTCTCACTCTCACTCTCTCTTTCTTTCTCTTTTTATACATGGACTACTTTTTTTCTTTCTTTCTCTCTTTCTCTTTCTTTTATACATGGACTACTTTTTTCTTTCTTTCTCTCTTTCTCTCTCTCCGCTCCGCCCCCCCCTCCACAATTTTTTTTTGTTTATACACGTGTATGAAATAGCTAGACCGGAAACAGTTTTTTTTTTTACTTTTACTTCTTCGTGCTAAATGAAAAAAAGTCTGCTGTCAAGAGAAAAAAGGAGCCAAAACATTTAATTAAGTGAAATGAAAAATAATAATAATAAGAGAAAAAGAAGTACTCTGTTCAGTTAGTTTTAAAAAAAAAAAAAAAAAAAAAATGAAAAACGGTGACAACAATGATAAAAACAAACAAACAAACAAACAAACATTTTGTATGCATTTAAGTGTTATTTAAAAGAAAAATAATTTTTTTTTTTTTTTTATATATATATATATATATAATATACATAAAACTAAAAATTTAAAAATTTTCGCGGTTGTTGTAAAACAAACAAAAACAAACAAAACAATCGGTAACAAAAAAAAAAAAAAATCGTGTCGTCCATCACCACCGGTTAAAGTTGAGCACTGTATTAAATTTATTATTATTATTATTATTATTATTATTTAATTATTAATTTTTTTTTTTGAATATTTTAATATTTTTTATTATTATTATTTTAAATTTTATTTTTTTCGGCCGTTCATTTATTATTATTATTATTATTATTATTATTATTTTGTATTTATAAATGATATATATATATATCGGAATTAGAATTTAGGTTTAATTAATTGTATTTAAACTTAAGTAGATGATATTCCCATGTGGAAACGTGATGATGATGATGATGATGATGATGATAAGAAGAAGAATGATGATGATGATGATGATGATGATGATGATGATGAAAATGGAAAATAAATAAAATTTTTTTTTATTCGACCGAAATATGAAGGATGTGGTTTTAATTTTTTTTTAATTTTTTAATTTTCTGTATTTTTTTCTTTTGTTTTAAAAAAAAAAAAAAAGGCGCGAAAGTGAAATTTAAAAAAAGGAAAATAAAATAATGAAGAAAAAAAAAGGAAAAAAAGGAAAAAAGAAAATATGATAATTTATATGTCGGTTTTAAACTCTTTTTCAATCTCTCTATCTCTTTCTCTATCTTTCTGTCTATCCTTTCTTTATTCCAGTTTTTTTCATCGTTTTGTATTAATATTATTATCATTATTATTATTATTATTATTATTATTATTATTATTATTATTATTATTATTATTATTATTAGATTTTTTGTTAATTCGTATCCGTATGATTTATATGCTTTGTTATATGCGGGGAAAAAAAATGTTGGATTCCCCTCCTCCCCCCCCCCAAAAAAAAAAGGAAAAAAGAAAAAAACGCGTAGTTTATTCGATTTTGATTAATTTTTTTACATTTCGAACGGTTTATTATCATTATTATGATTATTATTATTATTATGATTATTATTATTATAACTATTATTATTATTGTTTGGATTCATTTTTTTTTATTACCGTAGATGAAAATTTAGAGAGAAAAAAAAAAAAAGAAAAATTAAAGGAAAATTCTGACGGGAGTTTTTAATTTCAAATGATGAGGGCGATATTTAATTACATAATTCACTTTAAAAACTGTAATAATAATAATAATAGTAATAATAATAATAATATTATCGATGACGATGATGAATTAAAATAAAAATAAATAAATAAATTGTTTTACGCTCCGTCGCGTTTTTTTTTTTTTTTTTTTTATTTAAATTCAAAACAGGTAATAATAATAATAATAATAATAATAATAATAATAATAATAATAATAATAATAATAATAATAATAATATTAATAATAATAATAATAATAATAATCTTCGGACTCATTTACATCATCATCATCGTCATCGTCATCAACATTGTTAACGTTAATATCGAAATCATATTTATGAATTATTTTTATTATTATTATTTTTTTTAATGGATTAAATATTTTTGTTCTTAATTAATTAATTATTTATTTATTTATTTTTATTTTTTATTATTATTATTATTATTATAATTTTATGTATTAAATAATGTGGGTTTTATAATAAAAATATGAAATTATATTTATATGGAAAAAAAAAAACAAAAACATATTATTATTATTATTTATTTATTTATAATATTTCCTTTTATGTAAAGAAAGATTATGTGACGGTAAAGACGACGACGACGATTTTGAT